CCCCCCCCCCCCCCCCCCCGACGCTGGGCTTTGTCTGAAGATTGCTCCCCTGGCACGGAAATGGACCGAGAGGAATAAAAGCAGGCCCTCGTGAGGTCCGGCGGATGAGGCCCGGGGGCCGCGCGCGCGAGCAACTCTGAGAAAATTAGGTCACGCTCCTCCCTTTCTGCGTGTGGAATCGGTCCGGCTGCTCCTCTTGGGCAGCCCCAGCGGGTGAGAGCCCTGCAGATGCCCACACACTGCTGATCTTGGGGACAGGCCAGGCCGGCCCATTTATAGGGCAACAGTAACTTCATTGTGCTCCCCGCCAGGCAGGAAGAAGCGAGGAGGGCGGGCAGAGGGTGCGCCGGCTGTGGAGAGGAAGCGGGTGGGCTGATGGGGCTCCTGAGCCAGCCCTGCCGCTTGCCCTTGGTCCGTGTGGCGAGGGGGCAGGTGAGCCAGGCCGGACCGGGCCAGCAAGTGCCTCTTCCTGGAAGCGCCCGCCCCAAAGACTGGCTTCATCCTGGCTAAGCCAGAACCACCATTATCCTTGCCTGTGTGTGCTCCAGAGGCTGACTGGCTTTTTGTCTTGAGAAACGCAAACGCTGTTGGCCATCAGGGTTGCGTGCCACGGGAGACAGGGCTCCCTGCTCTGACGGAGCTGCGTTTTAGGCTCTTCAGCACCCTTGCATTGTTGTCTTTTTGCCTATTGGCTGTTCCGGGGGGGGGGGTTGGCCCCAAGGCCAGGTCTATGCTGCTGGTTAGTGAGGCCTTTGGCCATTTGTCCTGGGCTGCCCCAAAGAGAAAGTCCTGCTTGGTTTCCGGTCCTTGAAAGCGTGAGCCTTCCTGAACTTGATGTCCTTCAAGCAGATTGGTCGAAGAGCCTGGCTGTGGCTCTCTGCTTCACGAAAAACTGGGGTGGACAAGACGTTTCTCTTTATTTGGGCTCCAGAACAGCCTTCTCCAACCTGCCCCCTCCTGATGGCCAGAACCCCCAGGAGGTGCCACGCCAGCACACCTGGAAGTTGCAGGGGAGGCAGGTTTTCCTGGTCTGAGCCCCCCATGGCAGCTTGAAGGGCTGGCTGTCTCCTCTTTGAAAGAAGGGATGCTGAGGTTTGGGGGCCAGCGTGGATTGCCCAACTTCTAGCCCATGGTGGGTTCCACACCTTGATCCTGGAGATCTACAAGCCTTGTCTTTGTGACGAAATTGTCCCCAGTTGCTCTCTGTGGACTTCCTGACCTCACACCTCAGCGGCTTCTGCCTTTCCAAGAATCCAGCCTCCTTCAAGCTGAGCTGAATTCCCAGGAATGCCGTGTGGTTTTCTGGCAACAGAAGAATCACAGGGTCGGAAGAGACGAGTCAAGTCCAGCTGCCTGCCCGCTGCAGAACTCACGTCACCATCCCTGACAGAAGACTCACCAGCCTCTCTTTGAACATAGAGCTGGTTTGCCTCTGCCTTCCAGGTGTTTTTTCAACTCCCAGTTTAGCACGGAGCCTTGCGATTTCATACAGTCTCCCTTCCAAGTATAAATCCAGTCAGACCCTGCTCGGCTTCTGAGCCCAGGCGTTTACAACCTGGTTTAGGGAAGATTCTTTTCAGGTCGCTTAATTTATGCAATTTAGAGGCTGCCTGGCTCCAGAAATGCTGGGCAGCTTCACTTTAAAAAGGAGGAAACAATAAAATAGGAAATGGATAATGCACATCCAGAAGGGGGGGAAAAACCCATATACCGCAAGCACAAAAGAAAGCTATGGGTCTCATAATCACCCCACCCCAAGGCCTGGGAGAACAGCCAGGTTTTCACAGGCTATCAGAACATCATCAGGGTGGGAGCCACGTAGATTTCTGGGGGACGTGATTCCACAGGACAGGTGCTGTGACAGAGAAGGCACATTTCCTAGCCCAATAGATGACATAATCTAATCAAGGAGACCTAGAGCATATGCACCCACCTTGCTCCACAAACCAGCTCTTTATCTGAAGCCAAGTTCCACAGGTCTCTTTGGGGCCATCTGATCCTACGAGCGTCGCACTCGTGGGGACTCGGCAGCTGTCTCTTTACCACAGCAGGTCAAAACTCAGTGAACTTGCTAAGGCCGGAGAGGTGGTTTGGACATCTCCCTCACATCAGCCCACGTTTACCTGGGAGTAAGGAAGGGCTGAATGGGAAAGGAGGTTGCTTCCACCCCAGGGCTGCATGATATTCCCAGTTCCAGAGGGAGGGAGCCCAAGTAGACCCAGTCCACGCAGCAGCTGCCAAGATGGGTTTGGGCTCAGGGGGGTTAATGCAGGCTTGACGTGCGAGAGCCACTGTGGAAGAGGGGCACCCTGGGCTGTGAAGGGGAGAGCTGCCTTCTGCTGCCAGGCATTCTCCAGATGAGCTGGGAGTCGTAGCCTCAGCACATCTGGAAGGAGGTGGGGGGCGGAGGCCAGGACAGAAACAGCTACGTGCAAGAAGGTCTGGTTGTGCTTCATTCTGGGGCAGATGGCTTCTGCCCCTGTTCTCCTTTATCCCAGGCGCCTGGGGACGGGGCAGGAGGGGGGCACCCAGACATTGATGTTCACACAAGCGGGAGCATTCTGATATGGGGCAGTTCTGGGGGTTAAGCCTCGCAATGAGCCAGGAGCTTTGGGTGGGTTAAATCCTTGGGGTTTTTAGTCTGGTACTTCCCGGTTTCATGCCCCCTAGGGGTGTTGCACTACAGTTCCCATAACCCCCTGCCAGCCCGTTGGAAGACTCTCTGGGGCTCTGGCAGGGGCACCTTTGCAGAACAGGGAAGGTGGGGTGCAACTGCTTTCAGAGCACCTTCTCAACCACAGAGCTGCAAGAACCTCTCCCTAGGTTTCCTCTGTTCAGTAACGTGGGGCAAGCTTTGCAAAAAATATTTGGGTTGAGGCGTCCCTTCGGTTTGCCTCTCAACGTGGCCGCAAAGGTTTTCCCACGCGCTCTTTCTCACCTGTCCTTGCTCTTCCCCAGGTACCTCCCGATGAGCTTCTGTTTCCCACCAAGCAGTGAGGAAAAGGGACCACATGGAGCTCAGTCGAGGGGGAAAGCGTGGCCAGTTTGGGGCATCCAGAGAGATGCTCTCCGGTGCAGCGGACTTCATCCTTCTCCTCAGCCCCGTTTCTGTGCCCACGTTAGGAGAGTGGCCTCGGTCTCTCCGGCCCAGGGGCGGCGGTGGGTGTAAAATCTCCCTGGCCGTAACGCCGGGGAGGCCACAGGATCCCTTTCCAGCTGTGCTCAGGCAGAAGCTAGGCCGCCATTGGTCACAGATGCTTTCATTTGGACTGAGCAAAGGGTTGGACTAGATGTCCTCAAGGGACGCCCAACTCTAGGATTCTTTTCTGACCCCCCTGGAAGAGATCAGGGACTGGACAGTCACCATTTGCCCTCTTTACGGAAAAGACAGTTGTGAGTTAATGAGCCCAGAGTGCTTGGGGGGCCCTGCCCGGTTCTGACCCCCAGGCCCCCAGAGAATAACGCCCATCCTCTCCAAGGGTTCCTGCTGGTGGCTCTCGACAGAAGACCCGCCTTCCTGGGCACCCCGACTGTGCTGCTCCGAGCACTGGCAGTCAATCAGCAAAGGCTTCAGGCTCAGAAGCATTGAAGGGGGGAGTGGGACAAAAGGAGCGCCCCCCCCCCACTTTGCACTTTACTGCTGAACTGAAGGAAGCTACGAGATTAGCCAGAGGAGGCCATTTGCATGCCAGGGGTCGGTGGGTGGGCGGGTGCGTGGGCGGGGGATGACTTTCATTCCCAGAGTTCTTTTGTTTGTCTCGGGGGCTTTTTCTTCAGGGTCCCCTCAGTGGGTGGGGTTGAACCCCAGAGAAGGAAGTAGGTGCCGCTAGCGGGGGGTTGCGCCCTCCCTGGCCTCCGGGACCTAGAAGCACTTCTTCTGTGGCGAAATTCTTGATGGAGAGCAATGTTGGGCCATAATGGGAACCCCTTTTTGGGGGGGGAGGTGGGGGGTTGTACAGCTTGATGGCTGCCGATCCAGCTGACTTAATGGGAGACGATGTGACTGCAGCAGATTCATCGGTCCCTGCTTTCTCCTCTCCGGGTGCGGGTGTACTACTGTGTGATACGTGGAGCCCCGAGGACAGGGTCCCTTCGGGGGAGCAGCCCTGCTCTCTCGTGCCTGCCCACCCCTTGGGGAGCGCCAGGGGTGCAGCTTCCTGTGTTTGGGAGACCCGTGAAGCCAACCTGCCCGCTCAGCGCCTGAGTTAGAAACAGCTTGTGCCAAGCAAAGCCTGGATGGGGGTTTCTGGCTCCCCCTTCTGGGCGGGCAGAAGGTGGGGCTTCCTCCAGACAGAATCCAGAGGTGCGGGACTACAACTCCCAGAATTCCCAAGCGATGCGCCCCAAAGTATCTCGGCAGCAATGATGGAAGGGGGTTGATTTTCAAGCCTTGCCCCTCAGCAGCTAAATTCAGAACAAAGCTGTGGGTGGTGAATAAGCCGTAACCGCCTGATGCTCGTAGATGATGCAGAGCCATAAACAGCTGGTTCTCTGCTTGGGGCGCCCCCATCTGGCACCCCAGCCGTCACAGCCCAGGGCCCCGGTAGATGGGAACTGGGTGTCCGCTCTTTTCACACGCGGGCGGCCCTCCATGAGGCCGAGCCCAGCGGCCTCAGGTCCTCTGCCTGCTGGACGGCGTCCTTTTCTCCCCGCAGACCTCGCAGGGAGTCCCGGTGCGGCGCTTCAAGACCTTGAGCGACCTCATTGCCCTCTATCTGCAGCCAAACCAGGGCCTGGCCTGTACCCTGCTCTTCCCTGTGGAGCGGGAGAAGGAGAAGGAGAACGCGGAGGAGAGGGACTACTCGGGTACCGATCCGCCCTTCCCGACCCACCCGCGCGGTGCCCCAGTCCTGCACTTGGGATCAAGCCGGCAGGCAGCGGGTCAAGGGGGCAGCGAGCGCCCAGCTGAACCTTGGCGTCTTGCGCCCGCTCCCAGCAGGCCTTGGCGTCTTGCGCTGGGAGCGTGGGACTCGCGTGCAGGTCCCCATCCTGAAGGCCATAACGCCAGCACTTAGAAGGTGCTGTTGGGCGGCTCTCTTTCCCTCCCTCTCATCCGTGGGCAGGTGAGGGCTGTGGGGGGAGAAGTGGGGCTGGCGATGTTCTCACCCCCCGCTTGGTAATGAAACTCCTGGGGCTTGCGACACACGTGCGTGTGCACGCACACCGAGCTCTTCTGTCTGTTCCCTTTGGATGCGTGGCTGCAAAGCTTGGGAGAGATCTCCCGTTCCCACTAGCCCGCCCGGGTGGTCCTTTCCAGCTCAGGGCCGTTTCCTGGGGTCGCTTCTGCTGCTTGTGTCTGGGAAGGCCGTTCTCAGCTGGCTTTTGGTCTTGCAGATGGCGAGGATGAGAAGCCCCCCTTGCCACCTCGCTCGGGCTCCACCAGCGTGCCTGTTGGCAGCAGTGCTTCCATCCTGATGACAAACACCCCTGCTGTGCAGGACAGAGCTCTTGAAAGGTAACGCAGAGCCACGTGCTGAAGAGACAAGGGGAAGAAGCGAAGCCCTGCCCTGCGGGATGGGACCCCCGCCCGCCTCCTCCAGCGGAGGCCCTTCAGAGGCAGCCCCACTGCCGTCCAGGCCAGGGCTTCCTTGAACCGGTCCTACCCTCTTTGGAAGCCAGTCCCACACCTTGTCGTGAATTCCAGAGTTGAATTATGCACTGCGTAAAGAGAAACCTTTTGTCTTGCCTGATTCCTCTAGGATTCAATTCTGTTGGGTGTCCTCCGGTTCTAGTATTATGGGAAGGGAGAAAGACCTTCTCTCCTTGTCCACTTTATCAACACCATGCACAATTTTGCACACCTCCATCGTGTCCCCTCTCCTCCTCCTCCTCTCTAGATTTGAAAGTCCTAGCGTTGCAGCCTTTCCAACCCCTGGGCCGTCTTAGTAGCCCTCCTCTGAGCCTTCTCCAGCTCCTCTCTACCCCTTTTGAGGTGCGGCGACCAGAACTGCACACGATATTCCCGATGCGATTCCACCGTTGGTTTATATAAGGGCATTATGAGATTGGCATCGCTGTTGGGCATTGATAGATACCAACTTGGGCAGAGAGACAGACATTGGACAGGCAGGAGTCAGGGCGTGTATCCCGGACATTTCACTGCTTTCTAGAGTAGGAAGGAGTCCTTGAGGCCATCCATCCCAACCCCCTGCTGAGGCAGAAACCCAGATTCAGTCATCCTGGACGTGTCCACCTTCTCTGGACTGGGCCCCTTAGGCATCCAGATCTGGACTTCCTTGCTTATTACCTCTGAAGGGTTTTTTCTCGCAGGACCCTGGTCTCTCTTTGTTCACTCAGGGTGGCTTGGCTGTTCTACCAGGGTCTGCAGGGACCCCGGATGGAAAATGGTATTTCCTGCCACCGCAAGGCGCTTGAGCGTGAGCCGGCTCAGCTCAGTCAAATCTTTGCTGCGGCCACAAACCAGCGTAACCAGCCGGGCTCTTTTGTCTTCCAGCACCGCCAATGGGCTCAGCACCATTTCCCACGAATACTTGAAAGGGAGCTACTCCTTGGACTTGGAGGCGGTCAGGGGGGGAGCCAGCAACCTGCCCCACCTGAACAAGACTCTCGTCACCTCCTGCAGACGCCTGCACAGGTGAGAAGGAAAGCGCAGCCCGAGGGCAGCGAGCGGGAGGGATCTCGCTCAGGGCACGGGGTGGTCCCTGAAGCGGGAAACGGTGACTCTTTCCGAGTCCAAGCGTGGGGCTTCTCTGCAGCGAGCTGGAGCTGTTTGCGGCCACACAGAAATAACTTGTTTGGCTAGATGTACCGTTTCCAAGGCTAAGCTGGAATTTGCTTATTTAGCGCAATATGCCGAATGGCATATTTGAATACCGTTTTGCATTTTTGCTTTAGTGTTGTTTCCAGTTAGAAATTGCGGGTGTAACATTTTAGAGCAATTATCACAGGGGTGGGAGAGAAAATGGCAGGCTGTCTCTCGCTCTTTGGCCAACGTCAGCCTTCACGGGAGAGCTCTTCAGGGGCTGAGCCGGGGTTTTGATCAATGCAGACGATGCACTTCCTCTCCGTAGACCACGGCAGTGGGGGTTCAGGATAGTTACCCCATCCGTGCAAAGTCGTTTTCCAGAATGTAAATGTTCTTCCTCTGAAGAACCCTCCAAATGTGTTGGACTGCAATTCCCAGAATTCCCAGCTGTACCGGGGGGACATCCTGGTCCTTTGATCCCAATAGATCTGGAAGGTACCCAGTTGGGGATGGCATCAGGAGAGCCAGGGAAAGCCCACTGTTTCTTCAGGAGAAAACCCTACGGAGGCTCCTGCCAAGACAGCTCAGGGCAGATGAGTGTGGTCAGTAGTTGTGGAACACCAAAAATGGGGGGAAATCAGAGCAGGGAGGAAATAGAGTCTTCTGCAAAGGGGCCTGGATTGGAGCCCAGTGCAGGGTGTCTGCATGCAGCAGGAGGCTGACTAATCTGTGCAACTGGCTCTTGTCCTTCCAGTGAGGTGGACAAAGTCTTATCGGGCCTGGAGATCTTGTCCAAGGTGTTTGACCAGCAGAGCTCCCCAATGGTCTCTCGGATCCTGCAGCAGGTAAACGTCGCTGGTCGGAGATGGAAGGGCCACCAAGATGACCCGGGGAAGGGGGACTTTTCCAGATCTGGTCAATGCACGGGGCTTCTAGCCCCGAGGGGCCTCGGGGGAGTGACAGCATTTCCTTTGATCTGGTCTTTAGTCTTTGGAGGGCTCCCTTGGCCCAAGCTCTTCCCTCCCTACTGTAGGGCGGAGAATGTATTGCGTCATGTGGGGAAACCACACTTTCCCTAATGTAGGCTATGAAGCAACAGATCAACTGGCCTCCTGGAGTTGTGAGGACTCCATCACTAGAGGTTTCAAGCGGAGTTCAGGCCGTTGCTTCTCTGGAGTGATCTGAGGATCCCTCCCTGAGCAAGGGGATGGGCTACAAGACCTCCAAGGGTCCTTCCAACCCTAGGATCCTGAGATCCAGTGAAATATCTTCCTATGTAACACTGCCTAAATATTTCCTTAGAATGCAGCTTTCTCTGGGGCTAGAGTTGGCGTGAGTCTTATCTGCAAATCGCTGCATTTTGCTTGAAAAATACACTATGCGTTTCTCTGAAATCCCTGTCGCTGAGCTGCTGAGTCCTTTCTCCCCAGCAACTCAGAAGACCAAGGAGGAGGCCAGCAGCGAGGTGGGGACATGGCCCTCTCCTCCTTGAGAGTCCCCACCAAGGGTGTTCTTCGGCTGGTGGGAGGGCAGGGAGAGAACATTTTTATCTGGGCAATCCTTCAATGCATAATAAGTAAGTTTTTCATAAGTGATATCAGGATTATTAGAGGTCTTCTGTTATCATGGTTGTGTTCTTCGTATGTTTCTGTGTTTTGATTTCATTGTCTGTATTGGTGGAAAAGCTATAAGCCCCATCAATAAATGGGATGGAGGGCTGGCTTTCTATTTCTTTGGCCTCCTCTTCCCCAAATTAAGGCGACAATAACTTGTATGGCATGGGATTTTGCATGGCTGCCAAATGACCAGCCATCTTGACTCCCTCCCTGCCCCGCAGCAGACAGCCCTAGGCAGAAGTCTCTTTGCTCACAGCTGTCTTGTGATCTGTGAGGATGAACTCAGGGGCTTTAGAAGGTGACCTGGAGCATTTGGGCACAGTTTGAGGGTGGAATTTGATTCTGGCACCTTGGGGCTATCAGGGTCCTGTAGGCCCCATCTGGAATCTTTGTTTTTCAAAACTCCATCTTGTGGTTTCCAGACTGCTGGACAAACAGGAGAGCAGGAGTTGGACAGTTTGGTCCTGAAGCTGTCCATCTTGAAGGACTTCCTCTCCAATATTGAGAAGAAGGTGAGCGTTCTCCTATCCTCATCCACCTTTATCCCTGGCTTAGGAGCTCCCAAGTGCCTCTTCAGGCAGCTTTCATGACCCCCAAAGTTTGATCTCACCCCAAGGAGCCAGGCAGGATCTGCTCTCCAAGGGCTTCAGAACTTTCTCTAGCTGGCACGATCCATTGCCTGGGGCTTCCAATTGCCTGGTAATTTGGTGGGAATAAATTACAGCCCTGTCAGACAGCAGAATGTAGCTCTCCACTTGCTTTTGACTGATTACAGTTTTGTTTCCATGAGGGAAGGGAGGGCAGGGGGCCTAGGGGAAGCTGCCAGTGGGCTTGGCAGAGCCCCCAGGGAATATGGGCACCAAAAACTACAAGCAGGGTAAGACAGAAAGGGCCGGTGGCATTGCACAAGGATGAATTGCATGTCATCCTTCTGAAATATTACACTTCTGCTTGGTGAGTCAGTCTGACTTGTGCAGCAAACAGCGTCTTTACTTCACACAACCACACAAGGAAGGTGATGGTTATGTGCTTGAGGCAAGGCCCACCCTGGAGTTCAGGCTCTGCTAGCAGATTGGGAATCGTTAGTATGTAAGGGAGAGCTTTCAGGTGTTTTAGCCTGAGCAGTTAGACCAGCCATCCCAACTGGGTGCTTTCTGCAAATTAGACTACACGTCCATCATCCTTAGCCAGCTTCTGGTGGGCGCAGACAGGGAAAGTCTCATTAGAATTTCATGGACCAAGTGATGGTGGGGCAGAGAGAATTAACACTCCCTACCAGGGATGATAAACGGACCCACAAAGCCGATGGACATTTGGAAAGATGGCGACCTCTCCAATCTTTGAAATTCCTTGGAGCAGAATTAGGAGGAGTGAAAAAGGGGGCTGAACAATTTCGTGTGCTGCTAAAAAAATGGGGCCAGTTAACAGCACGAGGATGTTGATGTGCAGGGCGTGTTCAGAGCTGCCTCTCTCTCTGTGGTAGGCCCTGAAAGCTCTCCAGGACATGAGCTCCGCTGCCCAGCCTGGACTGGCTCAACCCTGTTTCCGCAAAGCAAAGAGCATCCCCGTTCAGACATTCGAGGTAAGCCGTTACGAAGAGGAGCATAAGGCTGGGTGGGGATCTGGTTTTTTAACCCCTGAAGCCTGCAAAGTATCGGGCAGCATTTAAGCAATTCTTCCTGAGGCTCAAATGACAGCTGTTTCTCAGCTGGGTGGAAATTGGGGCTCCTTTTGTGGGGCTCATAAACTAGATGGTAAAATCTCTCTGCAGGTGTTCGGTCCACCCTGCTGGCTGAGAATTCTGGGCATGGTAGTCCCAGCAGGGCCCCATCACAGGGAGGCAGATGATTCTTTGTAATTCGTCTGTTTCTTATTTTCTCCTCAAGCGTTGGGTAGAGCAGGAGATGAATCTGCAGCTCTGCCTTGTGTTGGAGGGTGGCTGCCCGGTTTCTTTCTGTCCACCCACCCATCTCTCCATCTCCCTGTCCTTGCTTTTGCTGTCCTCTGCTCCATTCAACACAGACAGCCGTGTGGGTCAGAAAGCGTCTCACGGCAATGCGTGCTTTCAGGTGAAGCTGGACCTGACCTTGGGCGATCTCACCAAAATCGGGAAATCACAAAAGTACACCCTAAGCGTGGATGTGGAAGGTGGGAAGCTGGTGGTTCTAAAGAAGCAGAAGGACTCCCAGGAGGACTGGAACACCTTCACTCATGACAAGAGTAAGGGAAGCTCTGCTTTTGTTGGCAGTGTCATTTTGCGCCCTGTCTCAAGGATGGGTCCCCGATCCTTTTCCTCTCAGCCACCTCAGTGAAGCTGGGACCTGTCATTCCTGTCTAGGCAACAAGTGGAAGAAACCCTCTATTTTCATGTTTCCCACCCACCTCAGTCTGCAAACATGAGCTGGTCCTTCAGCAGACAGCATGGCTCGCTTCCCACCTTCTGAAATCCCTGTTTGTGTTTCCAAGGTTTGCTAACTTCTAACTGGAAATAAATGCAAGATGGACGAGGTGACTAACCAGGCTTCTCCCCAGCAGGCTAGACTAGAAACAACTAACAGGCACAGAAGAATCCAGAACTTCAGATAAGGAAGTTTATTGTAGAGAAAGGAGCCATTATGAAAGAATTCCAGTGGCCGCTGTGTACCAAATGGAAGCTCCGTTTATAGTGAAATCCACATGCATGTTCTTACATCTTTTTCTCCTTCTTCAGCTATGCAATGGTCTGGATGGCCCTTTCTCTTTTGTGTGGGGGGCCCGGCTTCCGTCTCTTTCTAGTTTTGGTCAGGGCCAGATCTCCTGACCCTGTGGACACTAACCCTCACACAACTGCAGTGAATTCCTGGGGATGGGTTAATGGGGAAGAAGGAGTTGCGTGTCTCTTGATCACCCATCACTCCTCCCTCACCTCCTCCCAGTCCGTCAGCTGATAAAATCCCAGCGGGTGCAAAACAAACTGGGGATCGTCTTTGAGAAAGAGAAGGACAAGACTCAGCGGAAGGACTTCGTCTTCGTCAGCGCCAGGGTGAGTTTGGAGGACCTTGACGTAAGGTGCTGGTTGCCGACAGCACGTGGTGAGCAGATGCAAGTGTGGCTAATTTTTAATACGAAGGCAATTCCTGCTGGACTCAAGCACCAATTTTTGAGAACAGGTGTTAATCTGGGAAAAACATTCTGCCTCGGGGGCCCGGTGGCAGAAGGAGATTTCATACATTTTTAAATAAGTCCAGACTCCACAAGGGTCAGGTTTGATAGCTCCTCTCCAGCACCACTGAAAAATATGAGGAGCTATTTAGTTTTTAACATGTTGCGCCCTGCCCTCCTTTTCCTTTTAATGCACGAACAGGGAAAGGGCATTTGAGGCATGAGTTCAGTTGTGAAGCAACCCTCCCCTTGCCTGAAAGTGGAGGAACTCTGAGTGGACTTTCCCACCCCCTCCGACTAACTGGGGCTTCTTTGTCCCCCGCCCTCCAGAAGCGAGAGGCCTTCTGCCAGCTCTTGCAGTTGATGAAGAACAGACACTCCAACCAGGATGAGCCAGATATGATTTCCGTCTTCATTGGCACATGGAACATGGGTGAGTCTCGGGGGGGGAGAGGAGAGGGGCCCTTCTGGAGTTTTGGGTGTGTGGGGAACAAGAGAGCAGCGTCCATTGACTTTATAGGAAATAGGTGAGCAGCCCTCCAGCCTGTTGCTTTGTACTCTAACAGGCAGAAGTTCTCCTGGGCCATTCCATGCCTGCTGTCTGCTTTTGCTGGAGTAGCCCTGGGCATTGGCCCTTTGCCAGCAAAGTAGGAGCCCTGCTCCTTGAGTTATGCACTCTTTTCTTTCGTGCATCCTCCACCCATGTAATCCTTCCTGCAAAACTTTTGCCAGGGTCTCATTTCTTGATCGACTTCTTTCCTCCTTTGCAAAGCTGCCTTATGATGTCATCACAAAAGCTGTGCTGTAAAGGCGTGGGTAGGGGGCACTTCCATCTCCCCTGAACACTGCTGGAGTTTGGGCTCAGAAGCTAAGCAGGGTCATGCCCGGGGCAGACTTGGATGGGAGACGTCCCAGCAATCCAGACTGGGAAGTCAGAAACCACTTCAGCATCACTCCCAGGAAAACCTCACGAATGTTTGCCTGGAGTCAGGGCATCCTTTTATCAGGGGGTTTTTCAAACTGGGGTCCATGAGGACTTGCGTGGGTTTGGCGGGACTGAGGGGGAAGAAAACGCAGAGTCCTTATGGAGGGGTCTTTTTCGCTAGTCCCTTGCAGAGAATTTTTTCCCCTTGTTGACCAAGGTACTGCGGAAAGGGCAGGGCTTCTCAGCTGACATTCAAAAACCCGCCCTCGTGATCCAGGTTCTGGGAATTTTAGCAGACAGGTTCCTTGCCCTGAACAAGTGTGGAAGCCTCTCCCTCATTCCGGAGCCCGGCCCGTGCCTTCCTAACCAGCTGCTCCTTCCACCACAGGCAGCGTCCCCCCCTCCAAGAACATCACCTCGTGGTTTGCCTCCAAGGGGCTGGGCAAGACCCTGGACGAGATGACCGTCTCCATCCCCCACGATATCTACGTCTTCGGCACCCAGGAGAACTCCATGGGGGACAAGGAGTGGGTCGACTTCATGCGCAGCGTCCTCAAGGACTTCACCGAGATTGAGTACCGGCTGGTAGGTGCGCAGGAGCCGTGGGAGCGGGCTGGGCCCCGGGCTGCGGAGCCCAGCTCCCCTCTGCCCTCAGGGTCTCTCCTCGGGGCCAGCTGCTCCTTCTCGCCCTCCCCACCTTCCCCAGCCAAGCGAAGCTGATGCACATCAATTCTGAGGGTCGCGTAGGTTCCCGTTGCCTTTTCTGTCCTTCCCAGCCACGTGGCAATCAAAGTCGCAGTCACAGTGGCAAGGATGCGTCACTCGGGGCTGAGCCGGTGGGGTCCTGGCGTTCTCGGAGCTGGGTTGTTTTCCAGCAGACGTTTCGTGACCCGGGCAGCTGGCATCATCAGTGTAGGGTGGAGCGAAGTTTGCTGGCTGTTCATAAACGGTAGCTTGTCCTCCCAGCTTTGATGGGGATTCCCTGTATTTATTTGGCTTCTACAGCCGCCCATCTCACCAGAGCAACTCTGGGTGGCAAGCCCAGTTTAAAACACCAGTACCCCAATAAAAGAGACGTGAAGCCAGAAGAAAGGAGCTGAGGGTAAACTGCCAGCAATCGTGCCCCACGGGCTCGCCTGGCCTCCCAACCCCTGCCTGGCAGAACAGCCAGGCCCAAAGGGCATTCCAGATCCCGCCTTTACAGGGCCAGACCACGTTGCATTTGACTAATCAGTCCGTGGCTCAAAACAGACCTTTTACCACGCAGTTTATATGCGCATATAAGTACCATACAGCTGAGAGTAAGGTGAAACCACCTGCACATCAAACATTTTTCTTGACAAACACGTACACAAGTAGACAAATGTTTACAAACAAAAAACCATTGGCTGGTATATTCATGTAGACTTGAAAACTGCTTGTGAGAGCCAGCCAACAGAATTCAAACCCAGGACCCTGTCTGTTTCTCACCTTCCTGCAGAGTCGGACGACAGATCCCTAATGTATTACCCCATCCATTACGCCCCATTATAACAGGGTCCACTTACTGGCGCTCATTAAGCCCACTGATGCATCCACGCGCCATCTTTGCAGCCGGTGGGGCCACGCCTGCCCAGTCTCGCTCCCCTGTGTTCTGGCACCTCAGGGTCACCGGCTTTTGCCTTGCCTGAGGGAAGGGGCGGCCAAGCGAGAGTCAGCACGCAGCCCTGGTGCACTGTGGGGAACCCTGAAAGGGAATCTTCCACACATTCGTTCAGCGCCCCAGCCCTTTACCCTAACCTGACCCTTTGCCCCCAAACCTCTACCTTTTAACTAGTACCTTGGCCCTTAATCCCAGGCCTACCTGAAACGGACAATCCAGAGACACTATATAGGGAGTCCTCGTTTAGCGACCACAACTGGGACCGGCCACTCAGTTGTTAAGCGAAGTAGTTGCTAAGTGAACCCGTGGCTCTGCTTACAATCTGACTTCAGCTTTCCTTTGCTTTACAGACCTGTGAAGGTCGTAAATGCAAGGATTGGTCACAAAGGTACTTTTTCATCACCATCGTAACTGTGAACAGTCGCTAAACGAGGACTACCTATAGGAACAGGGTGGAGGTGTCCAGGGAAGAAGGACCACAAACACCCACCCCCACTTAACCCCTCTTGGCTTCAAGGAGATAGTGTAAAAGTACTTACCGCTGGGGTGGGGTTTCACCCCACTGTTCCACTTGAACCTGGGCAGGCCCCCAGTTGAAGGAGAAAAATTCCCCATGACCCCACTGACGAGCGGAGATCACACAGTCTGCTTGGGCCAAGTTTATCTGAACGGCGCTGGGGACAGAGTACGGGGCTCTGCCCCCTGAAGGAAGCCGTACAGTAAATGCTGACCAGCCATGGTGTCAGATGCCAATCTTAACATGGGTTAGATTTTCTGCTTATAGTGAGATAAGCAGAATAATAAAGCGGAGGCCATCATGAGTCGGTTTTTGAGGTTAGTTACTTCCCAGTCCTAAGATAACGCGTGGGCCAGCCTCTGCAAACGCCTGAGCGTGCTACCGAGGAGGCTCACTTGAGTTGAGGGGCCTCGGTCGTTTGGCGCTCTCGGTTCAGATACCAAAACCAGCGGGTCTGTGTCGCCTGGAGAGCTTCCTGCTGCGGGGCGAGATGCAAATCCTGTCAATCCGCAAAAACGGCTCAATCCCGAAGGCCCGTCTGCTCCTGGTGCCACCTTTGCCATTGCGGGAAGACTCAGGGAGGGACGCCAGCTCTTGGAACAGCCAGTGCGCCACCCTCTCTGAGTTGGGGGGGTCTGAACGGGGTCTGGCTGGAAGCGGCAGGCAGAGACGCATCTGAGACGCCGGCGCATCCCTGCCGAAGCCTCTGGGGGGACCAGCGGCTTCCAGCGCGGCACGCGGGGTCTCTTCTGCGGTGCCTTCTGCCTCCCAGTTAAAGCTCCCCTCCCCCGGGTCTCCCTCCAGATAGCCATGCAGTCCCTCTGGAACATTAAAATAGCCGTCCTGGTGAAGCCGGAGCACGAGAACCGGATCAGCCACGTTGGGACCTCCAGCGTGAAAACCGGGATCGCCAACACTCTGGGTGAGGAGGGGCCGTCGGGTAGAGAAGGGGCTGCGCTGCGCTGCGCTGCGCTCCCTCATCGGAGGAGAGCGTGTATTTCGGGACCGCCTCAGACAGGTGGACCGGCTTAGTATCCTGGGAGCAGAAGCCTTTAGAGTCCGTCGTCATGCCAGGCCTGCTAAAGCGAAGATTAAATTCGTGGTGTGGGACGGCCGGACTTTTCCTTGCGTGCCACAATGCGCTTCCTCTCCATTTGGCTCCGCAGGCAACAAAGGGGCCGTGGGCGTCTCCTTCATGTTCAACGGCACCTCCTTTGGCTTCGTCAACTGCCACCTCACCTCCGGCAACGAGAAGACCGCCAGGTGAGTCCCTCTCTCCCACCCACCCGATCACAGGGGCAGTTAGTTTGGGAGACAGAACAGCCAGGAGGCAGACTAAAGGTGGACCAAGAATTTCCCCACCCTGGTTGGAAATGTGTCTGCGCTTGCCACATCATCGCACCAAGCAATGGAGTTGTATGTTCGCACAACACACTTAGCACAGTTATTGAATGACAAGTAGTCCTCGGTTAATGACCACTCATTCAGCGACCACCCCCAGCCCCGCCACACTTTGCAGGCCACCCGTGCACCCTCCCCTACCTGGCAGCAGCCACTTACCTGCCTGCCAGCCTGCCTGTGAGCTGCCTGGGCCTCACTTAACAACCTGCAGTCCTCGCTTAACGACAGAGTCGTAGAAAGTAAGGGTAGAACTTTCATTCATCCCCCTATTGGTCTCCGAAAGCCAGAGGGTCTTTTGGGGCGGAGGGCAAGGTCCCTCTCCACATGTGGGGAAATGTTAACGTGAGCAAGAGAAAGACCTCTCTCCTGCTCTTCAGGAGCCTGTTAAGCCAGACCTTTGGCCTTCCATTTTGCCCCTCTGCCCTCCAGGAGAAACCAGAATTACCTGGACATCCTGCGTCTCCTGGCCCTGGGCGACAAGCAGCTGAGCTCCTTCGACATCTCCCTCCGCTTCACCCACCTCTTCTGGTTCGGGGATCTCAACTACCGCCTGGACATGGACATTCAGGTGAGGAAGGAGACGGGTGGTGGGCTGTGCTAGGGACGAAACCAAGGAGGGGTTGTGCACCTGAGCATGGACAGAGGGCCACTCCATTATCGCAGATGGGCTGTGCGCATCGGGGAGCCAAGCATGGGAATCTAGGCTGGCCCTGAAATCGGGAGAAAGGAGGGTGGCGAACCAGGAGAGCGCGACCCATGGATTAAAAACGACCCCATGGTACCCTTTTCTCCCCTCCAGGAAATCCTCAACTACATTAACCGCAAGGAGTTTGAGCCTCTCCTCAAAGTGGATCAGCTCAACCTGGAGAAGGAGAAACACAAGATCTTCCTGAGATTCAGTGAGCAGCCGGTCGCTCTGTCCCACCTTGCTTCTTGCTGCCCCCAGCCTCCCTTCTGCAGTCTGTGGGGTGGGGGGTGAGGCCCCCTGATAAATGTGGCCAAGCGCAGGAGGACAGGTGGCTTGGTGCAACGCCGACATGGCATAAAATAGGATGGCCACCGAGGCTGACTAGGGAGAAGAGTCACGAGACTGGAAATCCAGTCTTTTGACAAGGGACGGGGGTTATTCAGCATGGCTGGCTGGGGAATTCTGGGAGTTGAAGTCCGCGCATCTTAAAGTGGCTGAGGTTGAGAAACGCTGTGCTAGAATGTTAAGAAAAGCTTTCTAACCGTAAGAGCAGCAAGGTAGTGGTGCCCGTGACCCAGAGAAATGGGGGGCCTCCCATACACTGGATGTGTCCCATAGAGGCTGAGATCCCTTCGTTTGGATTTCTGCGTTCGGCAGGGGCTGGGCTGGGTGGAGCCGGAAGGACAACCTGCAAAGGTGTGAAGGGCACCAGGTTGGAGAAGGCTCACATTTGATCAACCCAATCTGTGCAATACCTCCCCCAAGGGGGGATAGCCAGTAAATGTAGCATGCATGTGCAATGCACACTACATTTGCACACTTGCAAATCCGGAAGCCCCTTTTGGAGACGGAATCCGAGGCCCTGCGCAGGCCTGCTGTTTCCCTGAAAAAGGCTGGTCCTGATCCACAGACCTGCCCTTCTCAGGGCAGTTCACATCAGTGTGGAGGTACAAAGCCGCACCAGGAGAGAAAGAGGATGGAAGGAATTCAAGGAAAAGCAGAATTGCACAAGCCGCCCCTTGGGAATCCTTCTAAACCCCAATGCCAGAGTGGGCAGGGTGCCCTTGTGGGCACTGCCCTGTGAGAGGGTCAGGCTTGGGAGTGGTTGGGCCCCTGGAAAACCTGCCCTTCCCGGCCGTTGTGAAGTGACACCCCCCAAGGGTGAGATCTGGATCCTCATTCAAATCTCTGAAATACCAGCGCAGGATCTCCAAGGCTTCTGTTGGAATAAATAGCAAAGGAAATCTGCAGCTGCCGAAGCAGGCAGGGCAGCAGCCATAAAACAGGAGATTCCTGAAATGTTTGCTCCTTGGGGCCAGATGGGTTTCTCTCCAGCTAAGTGTCAGCCCTACAAGGTAGACCTGCTCAGGAAACCAACTCCATGGATGATTAGAACTCTGCTTTATTGAGATCGGCTCTAAAACACAGAATCTTACAGGCCTGGTTGTGCTTTAACTCCCCACTCTCTTATACCCAGTGAATCAGGGAGGTGTCTGTCTGAGCCACTTCTGAATATTATCTGGTTTCTGAGGACTTACAGAGTGCTCCAGCCCCCTTTGCTTATGGAACAGCTCTTGTGTATTTCCCTCGGGGTCATCTCCCTGACCCTCTACGCGAGGCTGGTCCGGCCTGGCATGCTCCAGATGGGGAATCTAGGAGCCCCAATTCTTTGGGGAAGGGCGTGGGTTGGGTTTCCCTGTGCGTGAAACCAAAGGGGGCCGCTTCCCTGAACAGGAACATGGGGCTTGTGACTCAAGCCTCTCTAAGAAGTTCCACTCCGCCACCCCTTTCTCTTCCAAGGAGAGGCTGTTCTCCCTGCTTGAAGCCCCCTCATAATAAATCCGGGGCCAGGTGGGCTTGGATGGGCTCTGGGGCTTGACTTCTGATCTCTGGATTGCTCTTCCTCTCTTTCCAGGCGAGGAAGAAATCACCTTCCCTCCCACCTACCGCTACGAAAGGGGGTCCCGCGACACCTACGTGTGGCATAAACAGAAGCCCACAGGGGTAAGTGCTTGGGGGTCCGGGTGGGGCTGGTTTTGCAGGGCTGGGGAGGAGGATGGGGAGGAGCTCTGGGGGCACCCTCTGTTTGCCGGTTATCCAGCTTGGATGGCGATCAGAGCACCCAGCTTGATTCCAAAATCCAGGCATGCCACTGGAGTTTTTTGCGGTCGGAGTTCCTCCATCCTCCCTTACCATGGCCGCTTCAGATGGGACCAGGTTCCTGATCCTCTAGCCCCTCAGTGTGACCCAGCAGTGGACAGGGAAGCCTCCATCACCTGGTCTGCTCACTGGGCCCTTGTTGTCTTGCCCAAAAGCAGGACACGCTTCTGCTTTGGGTTGGGTAGCGCCAATGGAGGAGGACTCCAGACACTTAAGCCCTCAGAGAGGCTTTGTGGATCTGACATGACCTCACAGAGGGCTGCTTGGCTGAGTTTCCTCCAAGTTCAGAGCCTGGAATGTAGATAAATGCAGCTGGGGCAGCCGACATGGTGGAGTGCTCTTGATCCAACCTCCAAAACTTCTCTTGTTTTCCCTGCTCCCAGGTAAGGACCAATGTCCCCTCCTGGTGTGACCGCATCCTCTGGAAGTCCTACCCAGAGACCCATATCAACAGCAACTCCTATGGTGAGTTCCATGCCATGGTGGCACTTTGGGGCTTCCCTGGATGTGGTCACAGCTGGGCCAAAGCCATCTGCCTCCAAAGGCATCTCTTCCTCCTCTCTCCCATGCAACCATGAGTTACTTCAGGCTTTGTGTGGTGAATGACAGACCCCTGGCCAACCTCCTGCCCACCCCAGTTCCATGGGGTCCCTTGGTCCACCTGCAGGGTCCTCCTCCTTCCAGGAGGGGGTAGATCCTGCCATGATTGAAGGCATTTCTTGATTTCCTGGCCAGGCTGTACGGATGATATTATGAGCAGCGACCACTCGCCAGTCTTCGCAGCCTTTGAAGTTGGAGTCACGTCCCAGTTTGTTTCCAAAAAAGGTATTTGCAGGGAAGAGGGCTAGATGGTGTGTGTGTGTGTGTGCACATGTGTAAATAAATGCTCTTGTAAGGAGCTTATCCAGGAACAAGTGGCCAGGGAAAAGTTTTCCACTTCTCTCCAGACAGTAGGATCAGGGATCACCTAAGGAATCTGATGGGAAGGAAAATTAAAACACAGTAGGAAGCACTTTTTCACAAGCATATTTTTAACCTATGGAAATTGTTTCTTCAAGACGTGGTTATGTCCCTTAACACGGATTGCTTTCAAAGGGGATTGTATAAATCCATGGAGGACAGGTCCGTTGAGGGCCATCAGTCTTGAAAACTCCATTTAACCTCCAGGATATCAGTTACAGCAGTGTTGTCCAAACTTGGCCACTTTACGATGAGTGGACTTCAACTCCCAGAATTCCCCAGCCAGCATGGCTG